TAACAGCTCCGCTCCCCTCATCTAACGCCTCCTGGCATATGAGTCCCCTAACCCCTCGCTTCGTATGTGTCTTAGTTTTAATTTGTTTGCGATTAACACGCGAGCGTAAAAAATATTTACAAGTTTTCGGGCTTTTTTCGTGATTCATTTCGGGGTGAGGCCTAAGAAATGGGAGGCACCACCGATTAGGTAAGATTATAAAGGATTAGACTTGGTTGGGGAGATATATCTAGATGGTAAGTTAAGGAATATGAAATACTCTATAGAATGATTAAAAAGCATCTCTAAGATTCTTTCCCAAGGAATGTTTCCCCTTCAATGACTTGTCTTGATTTTCTTCCAGCTGAAGGATTCTTAAATTCCTGGCCAGCACCAGCTGCTGACGTTGGCAGATTTATAGGGAGACCCCAATCGATCCCCTTTCCCTTTTTTCTTCTTCTTTTCATTTTCATTTTTATTTGCCAACACCTCTTTGTGGGGCCCGCCTGACCGCTCGCAATTAATTAGCGGCAATGAGCTGTTGCCTCTGCCTCCGGCCTCTGAGTCCAGAGTTTCGGGACTCCGGTTCCATATTCTCCAGTCTCCAGTCTCCGGTCTCGAGTTTATGGCAACTAATGTGCGTCGCTGCTTGGGTTGTTATTGCTCTCTTTATGCCGCTGCAACATCCACATTATTTGTTCGTTTCTTGTGCCTTTGCTGCTTGGCTGGCCAATGTCTGGCTAATTTTCTATTTATTTGACCACTAACTCAGATGGAGCACCATCATGCCACCATGCCACCATGCCACCATGCCACCACCATCGCCATGGTGCACACATGGATAAGGCGCACTCTGGCTAATTTATGGGTTTCTTGCACTCTCTGCCGGGCTCGGGAAAAGGCATTAAAGCCGCCTTCTTTCTATAGCCCTTCCCCCGGCTAGCTAACTGAATGTGCTTTTGGCTTAAAGTTTTAGTTCGTGCTGGAAAGGAGACCTCCGCACCCAGAACGAGCGCCTGTTGCTGTTGCCCGGCAGATGCTGAGCCCAAAGAACTAGTTTACTTTCAGTGACTGTCCAACGCTCATCAACCTGATTTTACTACGAAATCACGATTTACCTTTGCACTGAAAACAAAGTTGTTAAAGAAACTGATAAAAACTTTAACTAAATGTTAAACTAAACCCTGAAAAGCTAAATACTATCTAAAAGTTTATTATCTAAGATTAAAAATCATATTTTCCTAGCCATAACTTAACTTAAAGAAATATTTTCCGTGCATTCAGATTTCCCTTTGCTATTTGTGGCCGTCGGCTGTGGCTGTCAGCTTTTGGTTGCTGGCACACGCCCTCCCCCAACAATAGCTACTGGGCTTAAAGTTCAGGCCAGGTTCAGTTCGAGTTCATGCGTGGCCTGTCTGCCTCTCCCCCTTGCCCCCTCCTTGGCCACGTACCACATTTGGCCTTTGCTGCGGATTCCGATTCGGAATCGCTGTAAAATGACTTTTCGCCATGATTTATGTTTCCACGTTGCGCTTCAAGTGCAACAGTTTTTATTTTATTAGCGGATAGGGTAGCGGGAGAAGGAGTCTTTAGGGTTTTATAGACAGTTTGTAGCTTAAGTTTAAGGGAAGTAATAATAGTTTAAGTTTAAACTTGTTAAAGTTGGTTTTCCCTTTAGAAAACTTTATTTTTACTCACCAATAAACGTTTGCTTTTCCTGCCTTCAAGTACACCCCTTTTTATAGATTTCACCTTTCCAATTTTGTAGTTCTCATTAACATAAACGATTCTTAAAACACTGGGTACCATTATGTGCGATCATCAAAGTTTTTAAGGCGATCAACTTTTAGATGTGGGTCGGTCTGGCTTGGCATTTTCTGCTGCTGTGGCTGTTGCTGCCCCTGTTGCTGTTGCTGGGCTGCTGCCTTAATTAGCTCAGCATTGTTTATGCTTATTTCGATTTGTTTCATTTTTTGTCTATTACTTTCCTCCTCCCCCAGAGCTTTGTATTTTGTATTTTATTAATTAATTTGCCCGCTTCGTACTTGGAACAAAGACAGTCGTCCCAGCCACAACCGCAACGTATGGTGTGGCAAGAAATGAGCTCGTATATCTGTCCGTCTGTTATTGTGAGAGACTCCGGGTCTAAAGACACAACCCACATGATTAACATTTGCTATTTCCATGGATTAAATCAGAGCCTCTTGGCTAAATTTGCGCAATTAACCGAACCGAAGCCAAAAGTTTCTTTCCATTTTCCACTGCAATTTGAGATCGTTTGCAAAGATCGAACAGATGCGATAGTCATTCGGTTTAGTTTGGTTAGCTTTAGAGGGGGGAGGGGAGAGTGCTTCGGACTAAACTAAACTGGTTGCCGTTTTAAGGCATAAACTACAACAATTAATAACAGCAACAACAGCAAAAGCAAGCGCAAACGCAGCGGCGGCCACTTTTCATGGTTTCGCTTTACACAGGCAACTGGAAAATGTTTTAAATATTTAGCATCCATTAATCAATTTGCACTCGCCGCTGATCTTGCGTCGCGATGCGGTCAGTTTTTTGGCCTGGGCTCAGATTGCAGTACAGTGGGGGTTGGCTAAAGGGGATTAGATAGGCTTATCAGCAGATTTTTACAAACTAACCAAGCAAACTCAAACTAAAATGTTTATAACTTGGCTTGAAGTTGGTTTACAAGTAAGGGATTTCACTTATTGAGTGCCCACTGTTCGACTGGTTCCTCTGGCAGACGAGATTGCACATTATTGTATTGCATTTCATATGCATTTTGTAATTTGTTTATGTCCGCTATATGGAAAAGCTTCACCACCCTGCCTTCTCTACCTAAAAAACGATAAGGAAAAAATCGATTTAAATTTTAATAAATTGCTGTGGGATTTTATTTATTTTTTACAGCCATTACCCAGCCTGGGAAAATATTAAACACCGCACCCAAAACCCAAGTTAAGGGAAAACTGAAAAGCAGAGAAAGGAAAGTAAAATATTTCCCCGTTTAATTTGATTTGGCTAATTCGGCGATAGAGAGAGATGGAAACTCATTTCGGTTTTGATTGCAATGCCAACTTTGCCATTTGAAGTGTGATTTCCACTCTCCTGCTTTGCATTGATTTATCTCGCTGTGCCATTGTCTTGGCCTACTGCAGCTTTTCCAATATTTCCAATTTTTATTTCGCTTAGGGAAAAGTTCAATCAAATGATGGGGCGTGTCTGAGAGAGGGCGTTGGGCTTGCCAAAGTTAATCAATAACCAGAAGCAGCAGCGGCAGCGGCTTCAACTCCAAAACAAAGAGATATAAATTTATTTATTTTTATATTTAAATTGAATTGCAGGTGGGTAGGAGGTGGCATGGGGAGGCATAGGGAGGGAGGGACACTACCCAGAGCTAGTTATTTATGGGAAAAACGTGAGACGCGGCAGTTGCACGAAAACTGTGTACGCCGCTCGACGTCGTCTATTTACATTTGCCATTATTATTATTATTATTTTTGCATTTGTTGCGCATTTTGGCCAGCGTCTAATTTATCGAGAGGTGTGGCCGAAAAAGTCACAAATAACACCAATCGCACTCAAATTATCGAATGTACAAATCGCAACGACAATTCGAAGCGCTTGAAGAATCGCACGGACAGGTACTCAGCAATGAAATCATAAATGAAATCTCAAATAAAATAAAAATTGGCGGCGCCCAGAATTTGGTAATTTATCGATTAATTGCAATCGCAGCTATGACATTTGCTTGGAGGCCGCCAAGCCCATCATTGGCAGAAAAGGCTGACCCAAAGAAGCTCGCTCTGATCGACATTCAAATGGAGATTTGATTTTGTGGCCAAAACGAAAATGAGATCAGTTCGGATCGAAGCAGAGCAAAGTTTGACCGAAGAAACATCGACAAACATGAAAATCATTAAATTCGCCGAGGCAGCTGCTTGGAGACATGTCTAAATTTAGCAGGCCTCGAGATATGAAGAGGCAGTGTAGATCAGAAATGTAAGGCTATCGAGAAAATTTTATTATTATCGATCATGTTATCGATTATGAATCGATTTTTCATTTCCTAATCTAAATATTAAGTAAAAGCTAAGCATAATTTCAAGACCATATAGAAGTTTTTATTATTATCGATAATGTTATCGATTATCCATCGATTTTTGATTTTCTTATTAAAATATTAAGTAAAAGTTAAGCATAATTTAAAGGCCATATATAAATTTCTGTTATTATCGATATTATCGATTGTGTATCGATTTTTTATTTTCTAGTCTGACTTTCAAGTAAAAATGTTGCAAAATTTCAACTTTCACATTAAAAGTTGGCTATACTTAAATTATTTATCGCCCTATCAAAAGCGAGCGATTAAATTATCGATTGTCCGAAATTAAACGGTTCGCCATAATCGATTAATGGCAATTTCGAGTGGCTCAAAAACACTTTCATTTTGTAAATTATCCAATCACAAAATTACCGATTATGGCCACCACATGCTAGCCACATCCGCTGACTTACATTTTCGGTACGCACTGTCAGTGGCCCGCGCTGTATTTGCATAAATTAAACTAATTGGGCGCCAAAGCAAAGTCACCGCGAATGAATTTACATAAACCGATGGATAGTGGAGGGTATAGAGTAACAGAGAGGTGGCTAACAGTGGAAAGGGGGATCCACAATCGAAGTTGAAGTGGAGCTCTGTTGTTTTTGCTTGGCGTGAGGCAATCCCCTGAAGTACAGGGGGGACTGGGTGAGACAGACCCACAGAAATTGAAACATTTCACATTTTTAATTTGTACGTGATAGGGCAAATAGTTTTGCCACTTGATGGGCAGCCAGACCCCTGCCTCTGCTGTGTGTGGCACGGAAAATTATGCAGCACACAAATCAGCTCCAGTTTTCCCTCCGATACTCCGATTTTCCGACTCTCGCATTGCATGCTAACCGTGGCAGGGCAGACAAATCGACTCTTTTCTGTCTGGCAGCACTTAGCACGTGATTGAAAATTGCCCGGGAATGAAGTGATTGGGTTCCACCGAGAAGGAAAACCAATAGAAATAGTTTTCCCCTCGCCGCTTCTGATTGCCTTCAATTCATTTACTTCTTCTTCGCCTCCGCAGTGAATACGAAATATTTCTCTGTACAAACAATTTGCGGAACTTTGCTCTTTTCGTTTTCGTTTTCGTTTTCCTCTTTGTCTTTGGCATTAAAGGCAAATTTACAAATTAGTGTGAAATTAAGGCCAAAACGAAAAAAGTACACATGAAAAAGCAAACACAAAGCTACAAAATAAACACTCAAGATCCAGAATTACTGATCACCCTCATGGCCTCATCATCAGTCGTCGTTTTCGGGATTGTTCTCCCATTGGAGGCGTCGCCAATAGGAGTATGCCACCAGCCAGAAGTACACGCTGAAAACTAAGGTATAACCAACTTAGAAGATATATCTTTTGAGTAACAAAAGTTAAACCCACTCAGTGTTACGAATACGGGAATGGTTTCCAAGGTGCAGAAGCCGCAGCTCACTGCGTAGTCGATTACAAAGACAGTGCAGAAGATCAGATGGAGTAGGTTGGTCACCAGATAGATGGGGACCAGCACTTCGATCTGCTGCAAGAGATGTCATGGGATCAGAGAAAGAACCTCAAGAGGTGATCACATACCACAATACTGCTTGTCATGAGAAGTATTGAGCCAATAAAGTGCAGCAAATAGGCAAAACGGCCAATGACCAGCAGGCGACCACCTGTTGGTGGGAAATGGTTTTACAAATTAAAGATTTCCTCTAGCAACAAGGAAACCAGAGCTTACCTCTGCTTACCTTCTCCCGCACAGAAGCCCAGGATCGATGCACATATCTCGAAAAGCGCTAAGAAAAAGCAGCCCGCCCGCAGATTCACGCAGCAGCAGCATGACTTCAGCCTGGGTACCCGACATTTCATGTCTCATTTGACAGCAGGGCGAAGGCCTCGCCTGATCGAACCGATCGTCTCTATATACTACTTATTCTATGATTAAAGTAATAGTAGTATATGACCTAAAAATCACCCTTATTAGGATAGAATGGTCACACTAGTCCTAGTAATATACATATTACAACTTGGTCACTCTACATGAGAGGGATGTGCTAACGGAAAGGCTCCTTTTCCACATAAGACTCGATTATGGAACAGTTTTACTATTTTAGCGAACCATATTTAGCTATAAAATAGCTTATATGGCAACACTGCTTCGCTTGTGTGTTTAATTTTTTGGCCATTCAAGGTCAGAGTCAGCTGCTCGGAACATGTGATAATGTTTGGTATTCTAATTTGAAACGCCTTTGTCTTGGCTGCTCAACTCATTTGGCTCATTCAATTTGACAGGCGACGGAAGCGACGCCGCCTATAAATTACAGCACATTCATGGGTCTTGGATCTGGATTTGGTTTTCGTTTTGGCTGTGGACTTTGACTCGGACTCGGACTTGGCCAGCTGTGACTGCAGCACTTCACTTTGAACTCCATTCAAGTCCGAACTGAGTCTAACAAAAGTCCAGACAGGAAGACACGGCCAGCCCCCAAATCCGAAGCCCATTGATTGCTCTCCAATGACAGCTATATGCTATGAGCCATAATATAGCTGGGGCTGACAGGAGGCGGATCTGACTCACAGATCTTGATTGCCTGCCTGCCTGCCTGCCTGCCTGCTTAAATGCAAAATTCGGCCATAATGATAGCTGGAAATTGAATCATTTTATGATACTCTGCCTGAATGAGATGCTTGTTTGGGAGGTGATGTGAAAATTAAATCAGTTAGTTAGCTAGCTGTAAAGTGATTAACCAGGTTAATACTTAGTTTCCACTCAAACAACTCAGAGGGAAATACTTTATTACTTTGCCAATTAAAAACCGATTCGATTCGCGTAGGCAATATGTGATAATAATCCATAATTCGATGACCAAATCGATAAATTCATAGCCCAGCCAAATACGATGCTCGATTTTATTCTAGCACTCGGCTAGCACAACCATAAAGTAAGGGTACACTCATAAAAATGAAGATCGCCTTTAATAAGGGGCTTTTTGCCAGAGAAAGAAAGAAAGAGCCAGGGCAGGGCGCACGTGTTCGGGCCAAAAATGAGCAATAATAATAGGAGGCGGCGGTGGGAAGGCCAGAAAGCGCTTTTGGGCCATTAAAATTCATTAGCCGTGCACATCTCGATCTGGAGTGCGAGATCCGATCAATAAAATAAGCAAACAATAAAGACCGGGTCGAGCACATTCGATATATATATATGATCTGAACGATCTGAACTGACCAGCGACCAGCTGCTGTGTTTTTCGATTCGAATTAAGATTCATATTGCCGAAATTAGCGGCGGGTAACTGGCTTGTGGGTGAAGGAATGTCCGCGCTTGGCTTAATTAACCTTTCCAAATTGAATTTCCCCACCGAATGTAATTGCTTTAAGGAATAATTTACTTAACTTTTAATGTTAAGCAGGCTGATTAGCACAAGTCGCGATGACTAACTGGAAAGTGACGCCGCGACATTCGGTCTGCCTTGTTTATGTTATATAATCGAAGCCGAAGCCAAGGTGTAAATAAACAGCGTATTATAGCATTTCTAACGGCCAGAGCAGTACTTTCTGCCAGATAAGGCAGTTTTAAGTTTTTTGTTTTCATTGTTTTCTGTAGATAAGTTGAAATTCCACATTGGCTAAGTGGCTAGCAGCCAGCCAGCCCCCCTCCCAAGCTGATAAGAGCGAGCGAGACCGCGCCGAGTGGAAGTACAATTAAAATTTAAATAAATGCAAAAAAAAAAACAAATGTGGGGAAAAAACAAATAATAAAATCTATTCAATGTCAAGGTCAGCCAATGAATTCGACTCTTATGTCTTTTCCCACTGTTTTTTGCGAAATTTGTGTTTGCTTTCGTTTTCGTTTTCTCGTTTTTTAAGCTTTTTTGATAACTTTATTTGCCTTATAAAAAGCTGAGAGGAAAATATGCAAAAATGTGAATTCTTGAGGGAATTGTTTATAATTTTATTTGTTTTAATTTCATAATGTCAGGCTTAAGCTTTTAAGGCCTTTAAAAAAGTTTGTTTTCCTTTTCGCGATGGCCCCCTCTTCTGACGTCAGCAAAGGCAACGGCAAAGAAAGAAAAGAAATTTCTTTGCAGAGCGAGGGAGAGTTAGTGATGGGGTGGGGGAGGGGAACTTAAAAAGTCACGTAGCATTCGATTAGTCAGAATAATGGCTAGTTACGTGGTTTACAGCCAATACTGTATGAACTGCAAATATGTAAAGTTTAGAGAGGGAAATCCTTATCGCTCTGCCATCCGGCTTGAATCTGAGACTCGAAGAATTTCCGCTTGCCTGTCGCCCATCGCCTGTCGCCTTTGCAATTTTCCAGCTGTCAAGGAATTTACATTTTTATTTAGAGGAATTTGTGCATTCATATTCTGCTAGCTGCTTATCTAACGTTTTTCTGATTTATGCATATTTTTCTATGACTTTTCCAGCTCCACATCGGGCTGCAATGGGATCTTTTCCCGTCGCCTGGACTTTTCGTCGTTCAACTTGCTGCCAAAGACTCGTTTGAATTCTTATCAAGTCAAGGTGAGTTATGTCTATATAAGCTATATATAAATATATCTGAATATATATAGTTAAGCTGGGGGGCTATCTACTCGCACACTCATTCAGCATGGCCAGTATTATTCACCCATTGAGAAACCGCAGAGTTGGCTTGACTTGGCTTTCTTGGAAGGAAAGGCAAACAAATATCTGCCTGACTTGGCAAACTGGCAATTGGATATGCCTTGGAGGGGAAGGGGGTTTAATTCTGTTGGATTAGATAATTTCCAGCTGGTCTTTAAGGAGGAGGAGGAGGCTGAGCCAGAATTCTCAAGAAGCGATGAGCTCCGCAACTGCAGCCCAGAAAATCACAAATATTCATTGTCTAAGCGCTTTTGGCAGTCACATGAGTAGCTAAGAAGTTGTTTAGAGTGGGAAGCTAGAGGAAAATCTTAAATTTTATTAATTTTATTTATTTCATAGTTAATTTTCTCTCTGCACTTCGATTGTGAATGAGTGCATTGGAAGCCAATCAAGGGGAAAAAGTCTTTGGGCCGGCTGCTTATCTTTCAATCTCGCCGCCTCTCATTCAGCCTTTTCCTTCCCTTCCACTTTTCCGCCTCAAACTGGAATATATAGACCCCTATATAGCCCCGATTCCCCTGCGAGTTGCTTCGGATTTCTGTTTACAGTCGGTGTAATGCCCAGCCAAACAATTTCATTGTTGTGGGAGTAAGGGAGATGCCTGGCTCAAGTGTAAGTTGATTTCAGCTGTACGTCAAGGGCACTGAGAGAAATAAGGCGGAACTTAGTTATGAAGAAAATGTAATCCCAAAAGGTTGTTGATAACTAATCATAAGCTGGTAAGAAGGGTTCTACCTCATCTTGTTCCTTAAGAATTTTCAAATTTCCAAGAACTTTCCTCAGTGCCAGTCATTGAATTTCGAGATTGAGGCCTGGCTAAGCCCTTCGAACTGCACATTGTTATGGATTATGCTCGGCTGAATCCCATTGTTGCGTTTGCGTTTGCCCCGATTGATATATATATATTATATATGATTGGGCTTGCGGTTGAGGCGGGCTTGGGGGGGTATTGAACCGAGTAAAACCGATTTGGAGCCGCAAGTCTGGACTGGGAATTATTTCAAGTGGCAATTAGCGAGCCTCCAAGACAAACTTCGCCATTTGCGGTTGGCAAGCCTGGCGAAAGCCTGGTCAGAGCTCATGAAATCATAACACACGAGTATGTATGATATGAGGATGCACAGGTCCTTGGAGTGCGCCTTGAATATTTCATAAGCAGCAGACGGAGTGGCAAGGGTGAATATCTCGCAGGACAATCCTACCTACCTACCTGTCTCACCCGAGTTTGTGCCCTACCCGAGCGGGCTTTGAATATGTTTTGCGTAGCCAAAATTGTATCTGGCGAATGTATCTGTATCTGTATCTGCTGCAGCTGGTCTCGGAATTTCCCTTTTGGCCAACTTATGCGATGTCTGCACGCAGCGGAAAAGCGAAAGAGCAGAAAGAGAAGGCATTGTCTGGCAGCGAATTGCTTTTAAAAACTTTACAATTCAATCTGTTGTTGTTGTTGTTGGTGGTGTAGCTGGTAAAGCTGCTCCTTTTTGGCATGCATTCCGAATTGCATTTCGAATTGAATTTATAAATATTTAATGCCATTCAAAATGCCATGCAAGCCAAGCGAAATTTCGGTTTTCTGTCTAGGATTTCTCGGTGGGTTAGAAGTTTCTAGCCGGGCTTAAAGAACTGGAACAGCAAGTTCAAGTTTTCAGGCTAAAGTTTTCCTTGTTTGCCCAAAAGGATAATCCCCAAGTCAAACAAAACGGATCAAAAAACTTAACAAAAAAACCCGTTCGTCATAATTAAGACAAGTCAACTTGTTAATCATCCAGCAATTTGCTTTGCCACTCAATGATTCCCGAAAGGGTTGTTGCCGGCTCGCTGATTTTTTAATCAGCATATCATAGACTTCGGGGGTTAACCTTTCTCCCAATCAGCTGTCGACATTTTGGCCGTCAAGGGATTTGCTTCGAGCATCCAAAAAAAAAACAGCTTAAAAAAGCCCAGGCAGTTATAATTATAATTAACACAGCTCCGGGGATTGAACTTCAATTGGGACTCCTGCACATCTGCTAATTGTTTCAGCTCTTCCTTAATCCTCTCCGAAGGGGGTGTGACTGTGACGGGGTTCCATGATGATTCATTCCGGAGATCTGCTCTGCTTTCTGCGCGTTTTTAATATGCCAATCAATCTTTGTCTCTCTGGCCAACTTTAAGCAAGAAAATAAGTTTTTATATGAATGATTGATGAGCGAGTGGTCGGTCTGCCATGTGTGTCTGCTTTTTGCTGGCAAATCTCAAATCGCAATCGCAGTCTGAAATTTCAAATTTGAATAGAAATAAATAAATGTTCTCGCTGGCTGTTGGCGATCATTTTTACCTCCTCCCTCCTCCCTCCCTCTTGTTTTCCTCATCTTTTTTGTGCTCTCTTAAACTGACACTATACATCAGAGGATTTCCTTTTTGCCTCTTGCTGGCGGAAATTTTCCAGAGCTGTTGTCAAACTCAGCAGCTGACAGGCTCTCACTACTAGTCCTTGGATCAGTGATACCCTTCCTTAGGGAATTGTAAGTTAAAAAGGATAATCAAGGGAAAAGTTGGTTGAGTTTAAAGGTTGTTATCAAAGAAAATTAAGGAAAATTTTTACATTAACTCCTTTCTAAAGGGTATATCTCCAGCTCTCCTGCTTTTTTAGTAGATCTTGCTGTCGCCACGACACTTTCCCAGATTGATGGCTGCTGCACATTCTGTGCCCCAAAGAGCTTTCCGTTCGCAGTTCTTTGCCAGTGTCAGCGATTTTTGAGCCGCATTCCAGCGCAATGGCAAGAGACAAAAACTCTGTTGATGGGCGCCACTGGACAGGCCCGAAATTTATGCAGTCTGCCGTCGTCATATGAAAAAGGCAAAACTACAAAAATTTGGCATATGCTACGGTCGTTGCAATGTGCAAATTCCACTCCGAATTAAATTTTTATTAAAGCCAGCAAATTTATGCAAAAGTTCTCCATCTCAGACATGTCTACGCCCACTCAGGTGCGAGTGGAATTGCTTCGGGCCATGTTTGCCAAAGTTGTTGTTGCTGCTGCTGCTTGCGCGGATGTTGCTGATGGAGTTTGGCTGGCCGTCGTCTGCTCTTCTTGAGGAGTGATGTGCGTCGCTTGACTGCCTTAAACATGACATTTATTGTAACTGTCTTTTGGGGGAATACCCTCGCCACTTCCCTTTGCCTGCCGCCTGCCACTTTTCCCCGCTTTTCCGACCCAAGTTGCTTTGTCACACGTTGATGTGGCTGCTGTTGCACGGAGAGGAAAGTTGAGGAACTTCTCTTTTCAGTTCTACTAACTCAAGATTAGAGTAAAGTGAAGATTCTGGAACCTCCTACTGGTTTCTCTCTGTGCATTCCTTGATGTTGCTGCTGGCTGAGTTGATGTTGCTGTTGTCATTTAAGCATTTGATATGCATTGTGGTGTGTCTGTCTGCGTTCGGCTGATTCTGTGTGTACTTATAGATCTGCGAGGGTGTGTGTGTGCTTGTGTGTGTGTTTGTATGTTTGCCAGACGGCGCCAAACGTCGACAGTCATTGTCATGGCAACATGTTGCAGACACCATTGCAATTGTTGTTTGCAATTCGCTGCCGCCGTTGCTGCTGCTGCTGCTGCTGTTGCTGCTGCAAGCGGGCAGACAAACATTGAGCACTCCACTTCATTTATCCTCCACTCGCCACCCCCTTTAATCCCCCCGCTTTGCCCTCCTTGGCTTATCATCCATTTATTTCAATTTCTGCACTTTTGCGTGGTGCAAATTGCACAAAATTTGCTCAAGTGCCTCCAAAGTGCCTCCACAATGAAAATGAATAATTATGTTTGGCTGCAATGTTGGTTCGTGTACGACTTTTCCTCTGTCTCGACTCTCTTAGCACCCGCCCCCTTCGTCGTTTGGTATGCTTAATTAAATGCCTTCGAGGCAGTGACAAAAACATATTTCTAATAAGCGGAGATACAGTTGGGGTCAGTCAGAGAGTGCCTTGGGAGGAAACCTCTCAAATTGATTGAGTTTATTCAGAGGGAGTAGAGGAGAGCTAAAATAAAGTTACTTACCAAGATCATGGAAATATCAAAGAATATTAACATTTTTGCTTTATCGATAATGATATGGAACTGTAGATGTTGCCTTATCGATAATTATATCGAATTTACCTAACATTTCGATAACATTTATACCCACTTAACTCTTATGACAGAAGAAAGTTCATTAACCTGGCCATAAGTCCCTTTTTTGGTAGCCAGTTTTGAATGGCATTTTGTGGGGAAAATTTAATTTCAATTTTCCTCATCAACTTATTGCGGTTATGTCTCTTTCGCTCTCCTTCGCTCTCTTTCCTTCTTTCGTGATTTTGGCATTTCCCGTCGTTAAGCTTGCCGCCTGGCTGAGGCTGAGACAGAGGCATATGAACAGGATAATGTCCTTGTCCCTCTGCAAAAAGGAGCCACAAGGACAAATCGACGGACAGAGACGAAGACATCTACTGACAGACATTGAAAATGATTGAAAGAGAGATGGAGGCCTCAGAAGACAGAAGATGACAGGAGGGTAGAGGGTAGAGGAGGGAGTACGAAGGCGGAGACCCAGCGACCGACATTGAAATGTTGTTGAACTTGCCTCGGTTTTCTGCTGCCTCCATAAACAGAGATGCCAAATGTCAACTCACGTGGAGGATTGATTCACGGGGAAAGGTGAGGCCGCTGAGCAGCTCAACGGAGACATCAAGGCTCGCGGCCTGTCCTGTCCCGTCCCGTCCGTCAGTCATCTCGGATTCAATATTTACTTTATCACATCGATTAGCTGTTTGGGAATGTACTCTTAGTACAGTGGGAAAGAAAGTTAATCATAAACTTAAAACTTAAACTTAAAGATTAAATTTGAGAATATTTTCATACTAACTTTAAGAATGAGCATTTAAA